CGCGTTCATCGCCAGGCAGGCCGAGCAACCGGGCTGTCGCAGTTCGAAACCGGCTTCGTTCAGGATCGTTCCAGTCCTTCGGCTTTGGCCTGCGCTTCGACCATCTTCGAACCCGGAACGAGCCATGCGGTTACGTTCGGCGCTTTCTTGCGGCCTTTCACGGCGTTGGCGAACTGCCGGAAGTCCTCGATCCGACCGTTGGTGCAACTACCCAGAAACACGTAATCGACCTTTTTTGCCGAGCATCTTCTCGCCGCTGTGGAAGCCATGTAATTCAGCGATTGTCGAAGCTGACCTTGTCGCTGCCGCTGAGTCCTTCGCCCGACGGAATCGTGCCGGTAATGCCCATTCCCATGCCCGGGTTCGTACCGTACGTGATCATCGGCTCGATATCGGCGGCGTCGAACGCGTATTCGGTGTCGAAATGCGCGTCCTGATCCGAATAAAGTTCTTCCAGGCGGCTACGGCTTTGTCGAAATCGGCTCCCTGCGGGGCTCGGTTGCGGCCTTCACGTAGTCGAACGTCGTTTGGTCGGGGGCGATGATGCCGCCGCGCGCGCCGCATTCGATGCTCATATTGCAGACGGTCATCCGCTCTTCCATCGACAGGTCGCGGATCGCTTCGCCGGCGAACTCGATAAAATGTCCCGTTCCGCCCGACGCCGATATCTTCGAGATGATGTACAGGACGATGTCTTTGGCCGTCACCCCTTTGCCGCGCTTGCCGTTCACGGTAATGCGCATTGTTTTTGGCTTCGGCTGCAGGATGCACTGCGAAGCGAATACCATTTCGACTTCCGACGTGCCGATTCCGAATGCGACGGCGCCGAAAGCCCCGTGCGTCGAGGTGTGGCTGTCGCCGCATACGATCGTCATGCCGGGCTGAGTGATCCCCTGTTCGGGCCCGACGATATGCACGACACCGTGTCCGGGACTGCCCAGCTTGAAGTATTCACCACCGTTCTCCTCGCAGTTGCGGCTGAACGATTCGAGCTGTTTGCGGCTCTGTTCTTCGGCGACGGGTCGATCCTGGTTCAGGGTCGGCACGTTGTGATCCGGCGTTCCGGTCGTCTGCTGCGGCGGGCTACTTTGATCCCGCGGTTTTTGAGTCCCAGAAAAGCGACCGGCGAGGTTACTTCGTGAATATAATGACGTCGATATATAATACGCTGCGGCCGCCGTCCAACTGACGGACTACGTGTGCATCCCAAACTTTGTCAAAAAGTGTTTTTCCCATTTTCGTGTGTTTATGATTATTCTGTTTTTTCCGTTACATGAGCAGGTTCAGTCCGTCCACGAAAGCTTCGACGGCCGCTTTTACGACGTCCGTATTAGCCGAAAAACCGTGGACCAGCATCGACCCATTTGACCTGTACGTGTACGCGGCCTACGTCGTCGCTGGCCCTTGTTCATCGCCTGGATCAGGAATTCGGTGATCTGTACCGTTTCGTTGATCAGCGTTTTGATCGCTTTGACCGCCGCGTCCACCGGGCCGTTTCCGGTGCAGGTGGCCGTGCGTTCGCTGTCGCCGATCTTGACGATGACCGTCGCGGTGGGGATCAGCGTGCCGGTCAGGATTTGCAGGTATTTCAGTTTGATCCGCTTGCCGACCTTTTCGCCGGTGGCGGCCCCGACCAGATAGAGCAGGTCGTCGTCGCGGACGTCCTTCTTCTTGTCGGCCAGTTCGAGGAACTTGGCGTATACTTCGTCCAGTTCTTTCTGTTCGAGTTTGAATCCGAGCAGTTCGAGCCGGTGGTTCAGCGCCGCGCGGCCGCTGCGGGCCGTCAGGGCGATCACCGATTCGTCCAGTCCGACATCGACCGGATTGATGATCTCGTAGCTTTCGCGGCTTTTCAGCACGCCGTCCTGGTGGATTCCGACGAGTGGGCGAAGGCGTTGCGTCCGACGATCGCCTTGTTGGCCTGTACCGGCATGTTCATCATGCTGGCTACCATGCGGCTGGTCGAAGTCAACAATTTCGAATTGATCGACTATCGACATTCAAGTGCTTGTGGCAGCGCAGTGCCATTACCACCTCTTCGAGCGAGGTGTTGCCGGCGCGTTCGCCGATCCCGTTGATCGTCACTTCAGCTTGGCGGGCGCCGTTGATGACGGCTTCCAGCGTGTTGGCCGTCGCCATTCCGAGGTCGTTGTGGCAGTGCGTTGAGATGATCGCCTTGTGGATGTTGCCGACATTTTCCATCAGGTATTTGATTTTCCGCCCGTACTCTTGCGGCAGGCAGTATCCGGTCGTGTCGGGATATTGACCACCGTAGCGCCCGCTTTAATGACCGCTTCGATGACGCGCGCCAGGTATTCGTTGTCGGCCCGGCCGGCGTCTTCGGCGTAAAATTCGACGTCTTCGACATATTTCTTCGCGTGTTTCACGGCGGCTACGGCCCGTTCGATGATCTCTTCGGGGGTCGATTTGAGCTTGTCGTAAATATGCGAGTGGGACACGCCGATCCCGGTATGGATACGCTTATGTTTGGCCAGCGCCAGCGCGTCGGCGGCTACGTCGATGTCTTTCTGTACGGCGCGGGTCAGCGCGCAGATCGTGGGATTCGAAACCGCCTTCGAAATTTCGCGCACCGAATTGAAGTCGCCCGGACTCGAAATCGGGAAACCTGCTTCCAGGATATCTACGCCCAGTTCTTCCAGGGCGCGGGCTACTTCTATCTTTTCAATCGTATTCAACTGGCAACCGGGAACCTGTTCTCCGTCGCGCAACGTCGTGTCGAAAATAAATAATTTCTCACTCATGGCATCAAGTCTTTTAAACCGTAATTCTACATTCTTCATTTACAAAATTAGCGGTTTCATTTCGAAAGTAGTCAAGTCGCAAATATACAAATACGACGGCAAAAAAGCAAAACGGCGCGACTAAAGAGTCCATAATAAATGCGATACGCTCCCGTGCCGCCGCAAAATGTACGACGTCAACCTGTCCGGGGGAAAAGCATGAAGGATTACTGTTCCGGCCTGGTATTCAGCAGCAGCCGCGCCTGTTCGCGTGCGGCTGCGGTGACGTCCGTACCGCTGAGCATTTTTGCGATTTCGTCGATGCGTTGCTGCTGATCGAGTTTGCGGATGCGGGTGGTCGTGGTCGATCCGGATTCTTCTTTGTATACGAAGAAGTGATGGTCGCCTTTGCTGGCGATCTGCGGCAGGTGCGTGATGTTGACGACCTGCAAGTCTTCCGACAGGCGGCTGATGATCTCGCCCATCCGGTCGGCGATCGATCCGGATACTCCGGTGTCTATTTCGTCGAAGATGATGGTCGGCAGTTGGCTGTGGTGCGCGACGATTGCTTTGAGGCTCAGCATCAGCCTCGACATTTCTCCGCCTGAGGCTACCCGTTCGATCGGCTGAGGAGGCATGTGGCGGTTGGCCGTGAACAAAAAACGGATGTCGTCCGCGCCGTCGGGTCGCAGTTCGGCGGCCGGCGTGATCTCGATACGCAGTTCGGCGGCCGGCATTCCCAGTTCGGCGAGCATCTCTTTGACCTGTTTTTCGACGTGCGGGGCGGTTTTTTTGCGTCCGGCGGTGATTTCTGCGGCCTGCTTCGCGGCTTTTGCGCGTAACTCTCCGATCCGCCGCGATAGCGTTTCGATGGCCTGCGCCGATCCTTCGAGCTGCGCGAGGCGCTTTTGGTAATCGTCCTGCAGGGCGAGCAACGTTTCGACGGAATCCGCCTTGTGCTTTTGTTGCAGCGAGTAGATCAGGTCGAGCCGCTGCGACACCGATTCGAGTCGTTGCGGATCGCTTCCAAGCGATCTCCTTCGGAGGCGATCTCGGAGGCCATGTCTTTCAGGTCGAGCGCGGCGCTGTGCAGCCGGGTATAGAAGGCGTCGGCCTGCGGATAGACCCTGGCGATCCGACCGAGCGACACTTCGATCTCTTTGATCCGACCGAGCAGGTTTTCATCGGCTCCGGTCATCTCCTGCGAGATCCATAGCAGCGTATCCTTGATTTCGGCCGCGTGGGACAATTCGGTCTGTTGCGCTTCGAGTTCAGCCTGTTCTCCCTCTTTTAATTTGGCTTTTTGCAATTCGTCCGACTGGAAGGCGAGGTATTCTCGGTCGCGGTCGTTCGCTTCGGCCTGTTGCCGCAGCCGGTTCAGTTCGCGTTCGGATTGTTGCAGCGCAGCGAACGTCTCCTTGTAACGCGACAGCAGACCGTCGTGCGAAGCGACGCTGTCCACGATACCGGTCTGGAAACGGTTGTCCGCGAGCAGCAGGGTTTGGTGCTGCGAATGAATGTCGATCAGCCGGCTGCCGATCTCGCGCAAGGTGTTCATCTGTACGGGAATGTCGTTCACATAGGCCCGGCTTTTCCTCCCGGCGTGACGATGCGCCGGATGATTGTCCGGTTTTCGTAGTCGATGTCCAACGATTCGAACAATGCCTCCAGTCCGTATCCGTCGATGTCGAATTCCGCTTCGATGACGCAGTTGCGCTGGCTGTTCTTAATCGCCGCGGCATCGGTGCGATTACCGAGAATCAGGCCGAGAGCCCCGAGCAGGATCGATTTTCCGGCTCCGGTCTCTCCGGTGACGATATTCAGCCCGGCGGCCAGTTCGATGTCCAACCGGTCGATCAGCGCGTAATTTTCAACCGACAAACGATTCAGCATGGCGATTTCAAAAGTTTATCCAGACGGTTTATAGGTATTGTTGAGCGTTCGGTTATTCGGGACGGGCGTTTTTCGGCGCCCAGAACGCTTCGATTTCGTCGACGATGTCCGCGGCTACTTCAGTTTTGCTTTTCAGCCCGAATACGGTTTCGCTTCCGTCGCGGCGAAGTATCGTGATCTTGTTGGTATTGCCTCCAAATCCGGCGCCGTCGTCCTGCAAAGAGTTCAGTACGATGAAATCCATGTTTTTGCGTTCCAGCTTGGATTGCGCGTTGGCTCGTTCGTGGTCGGTTTCGAGCGCGAATCCGGCCACGAGGCGCGTTCCTTTGACCGCTCCGATCGCAGCGGCGATATCCCGAGTCGGCTGCAGGGCGATGTTCCATGCCGATCCTTCCTTTTTGATTTTCGTGTCGGCGACCGCCTGCGGCGTATAGTCGGCCACGGCGGCGCACATGACCGCCGCGTCGCATCGGTCGAAAGCTTTCGTAGCGGCCCGGAACATCTGCTCGGCCGTCACCACGTCGACCGTCTGCACGCCGTCCGGCGGCGTCAAGGCCGTTTTCCCGGTTACGAGATCACTTCGGCGCCGCGTTCTTTCAACTCGGCGGCGATCGCATACCCCATTTTGCCCGACGAGAAGTTTGAAATGTAGCGTACCGGGTCGATCGGTTCGATCGTCGGGCCGGCCGTTACGAGGATCGTTTTGCCGGTCAGGTTGCGTTTCTTGGCGAAAAAATCCGATACGAAAGCGACGATCTTCTCCGGTTCTTCCATGCGGCCTTTGCCCGACAGGCCGCTGGCCAGTTCGCCTTCGGCGGGCTCGATCACCTGGTTGCCGTAGCTTTTCAGCGAGTCGAGGTTGTATTGCGTGGTAGGGTGGGAGTACATGTCCAGATCCATCGCCGGAGCGACGAAAACGGGACACCGCGCCGACAGATAAGTGGTCAGCAGCAGGTTGTCCGCCACGCCGGTCGCCATTTTCGCGATCGTGTTGGCCGTAGCCGGGGCGATCAGGTAAGCGTCCGCCCACGTGCCGAGACTGACATGGCTGTTCCATTCCCCGTTCTCCGGATTGAAGAATTCGACCGGAACGGGATGTTTGCACAGGGTCGCCAGCGTCAGCGGCGTGATGAACTGTTTGGCCAGCGGGGTCATTACGACCCGCACTTCGGCTCCTTCGCGCACCAGCAATCTGACGAGTATCGCAGCCTTGTAGGCTGCGATACTTCCCGTTACCCCGACGAGTATTTTTTTCCCTCTGAGCATCGTATTTGAAAATTGTCGGAACGATCCGGTTTATTCTGCCGGCAGCTCCTCGGTTGCGTCCGCTTTCGTATCCCGGAAATAGATCTCTCCGGAGAGAAATTCTTCGGTAGCTACGATCGCCGGTTTCGGCAGGCGTTCGTAATATTTCGATATTTCGATCTGTTCGCGGTTCTCGAAAGTCTCTTCCAGCGAGTCGTTAACGCTCGAAAAATCGGCCAGCTTGCGCGTCAGTTCCTGTTTTATTTCGCTGGAGATCTGTTGGCGCGGCGTGCGATGATGACTACCGATTCGTAAATGTTGCCCGTCGGAGCGTCCAGATCCGTCAGTTTACGCGTTACGGTGTTGGTCGGAATACTACTTTTCTTCAGTTCCATTGCTTGTTTCGGAATTATCGGATTTATTTGATTTTTCGCTCTTTTCTTTTTTCGGCTTGGGCTCCCGGGCCGCTTTGGACTCTTTGGCCGGTTTGTGCTCTTTCTCGACAGCGGCTTTTGCTTCTTTCTTTTCTTTCCGTTCCGCTTTCCCGCGTTTTGCCGTCGTGCCGGTCTGGTCGGAGAAATTGAGGGACGGAGCCGATTCCGTTACCTCTTCGCTGTCTTCCGCTTCGGTGCCATCGGGCTTCTCTTTGTATTTCTCCAGGAATTTTTTAGCCTCGTCCTGCATTTTGTCGGCTTCTTTGCGGTATTTGCTTTCCGGATATTCGTCGATAAAGCTGTATAAGCGTTCTGAGTATCCAGATAACGCTGACGCTGTAAGGCAGGAACGCTGTTGCGGCATAGAGACACTGCGCGCTGACGATCAGATAAGCCAGTTCCTCGCGGTGGTTGCTTTCCGGATATTTCAGGATCGCGTTGCGCAACGCCGTAACGGCCGAATTGTAATAACCTACGTCGTAATAGAGTTTGGCGTTCAGGAAAGCTTTGTCGTAAAGCTTCTGACGCAGTTCGATCATGTTTTCGAGCAGCTCGTCCCGTTTTTGGCTTTTGGGATACCGATCCAAATATTCGCTGATGGCCTGCATGGCCTGGAACGTGAACGATTGATCGTTTTCGGGCTTCGGCGACAGGTAGTAGAACCCTTTGGCGAAATAGTATTCCGACTCTTCGAGGAACGGGCTTCGCCCGAAACGCCGGCGAAATTCGTCGAATTGCTGGGAGCTGGTTTCGAAATCCCCATTTTGTAGGAGCACAGGCTTGTGTAGAAAGCGACGGTATCGGCCTGATCGGATTGACTGAAGATGTGTTCGATGTCCTTGAACAGGGTGAGCGACCTGCTGTATTTCCCAGCATTGAAGTATTCGAGAGCCTTGTCGTACTTTTGCTTGTTGCTGCCGCTTTTCAGGAGTTTGTTGTACTCGCTGCACGACACGGTCGTCAAAAGCATTAACGCAATAAAAATTTTCGCAGGATAAAATTTCATCGTTATTTACAGGGTTTAAACGCTTCGCACGGAAAACACCATATTTACCGGACGGGCAAAGTTATGTATTTTAAACGATTTGGGAAAACATATATTGTTTTTTTTCGATTTATATTTTGTATGCGGGCACGGAGCGTTCCGATGCCGGTCTCCGGTAGGGAGGGCTGCTTCCCGCGGATGCGGCGGCGCGGGCGGGAAGCGTTCCGATGCGGATGCGGCGGGTGCGTTTTGCGTTCGATTGCCGGGCGGAAAAACGGAAACGGAACATAAAAAAAGGTTAATTTTTTATGCTTTGTAGAAAAAGGTTAACTTTGTGTGATTTTTTGTGGAATTCAACCAACAAATTATACTACAGTGGATATTTTTGAACGAATACACGAGAACGCCGGCGGCCCGATCGGTCAGTATCAGAAATTGAGTCACGGTTACTATTCTTTCCCGAAACTGGAAGGAGAAATCGGTCCCCGATGATGTTCCGCGGGCGGGAAGTATTGAACTGGAGCCTGAATAACTACCTGGGGCTGGCCAACCCGGAGGTGCGGAAGGCCGATGCCGAAGCCGCCGCCGAATTCGGTATGGCGTATCCGATGGGGGCGCGTATGATGAGCGGGCAGACCAAATGGCACGAACAGCTCGAACGGGAGTTGGCCGCCTTCGTCGGCAAGCCCGACGCGTTCCTGCTGAACTACGGGTATCAGGGGATGATCTCGATCATCGATTCGCTGCTGACCCTCCGCGACGTGGTGGTTTACGATTCGGAGGCGCACGCCTGCATCATCGACGGGCTGCGGTTGCATACCGGCAAGCGTTTCGTTTATCCGCATAACGACATGGAGGCCTGCCGCAAGCAGCTCGGTCATGCCACGAAGCTGGCCGAAGAGAACGGCGGCGGCGTGCTGGTAATCACCGAGGCGTGTTCGGCATGAAAGGCGACCTGGGCAAGCTCGACGAGATCGTCGCCATGAAGAAGGATTTCAAGTTCCGCCTGCTGGTCGACGACGCGCACGGGTTCGGAACGATGGGGAAGACCGGCGCCGGAACGCCCGAGCATTTCGGCGTGATCGACGGCGTGGACGTACTGTTCAATACGTTCGCCAAGTCGATGGCCGGGATCGGCGCTTTCGTTTCGTCTGAAAAATATATCGTGGATTACCTGCGTTACAACATGCGTTCGCAGACCTATGCGAAAGCGCTGCCGATGCCGATGGTCAAAGGGGCGTTGAAGCGTCTGGATATGATCCGCAAGCATCCGGAATTCAAGGACAACCTTTGGACGATCGTCCATGCGTTGCAGAGCGGCTTCCGCAAGCGCGGGTTCGATATCGGCGGCACCTTGTCGCCCGTTACGCCCGTTTACATGAAAGGCGGGGTGGACGAGGCCTGCAATATCGTGGTCGATCTGCGCGAGACCTATAACCTGTTCTGTTCGGTGGTCGTGTATCCGGTGATTCCGAGAGGGGAGATCATTCTGCGGATTATTCCTACGGCCGTACATACGCTCGAAGACGTGGAGTATACGCTGGATTGCTTCGAAAAGTGCCATGCGAAACTTAAGAACGGCGATTACAAGAAGCCGATGCCGGACATGGGCGAAAAATAGTTTGATGCGAAGGCGGTCTCCGAACCGCCGGAAAACAGCTTCGAATTCTGAAGGGCGGCGTTTTCGGATTGCCGCCCTTCGTATTTCGATTTCTGATGTTATTGTCCCGGCGACCGTATGCCGATAAAAAGCGAAGCCGCCGGAAATCTCCCGGCGGCTTCGCTTTTTACAGGTCGTCGCGTATGCCGTTTTGCGGCGGCATTAGTTGATCGTCATCATTTCGCGGTATTTGGGCAGCGGCCAGAGTTCGTCGTCCACGATCAGCTCGAGCTTGTCGATGTCGTGGCGGATTTTGTCGAGATAGATCAGCACGTCTTCCGAGTAACCGGTCGCCCGCGCCACCAGGTTGTCCATGTGGTTGTATTTTTTACGGGCTTCGACCATCAGGTAAGTGTTCTCGCGAATGGCCTTCACGTGCTTGGCGATCGTCTGGATCGTACGGATTTCCTCGGCCGCCAGGTCGAGGTACTCGTTCGGCAGGATGTCCTTGAGTCCCTGGACGTTCTTAATCAGGATATTCTGGTAATGAATAGCTGTCGGAACGATATGGTTGGCCGCCATATCCGCCAGTACGCGCGATTCGATCTGGATTTTCTTGATCAGATTTTCCATGTTGATTTCGTAACGGGCGTGGATTTCCGATTCGTTGAACACTTTGTGTTTGTCGAACAGTTTCGAATAGGCTTTGCTGCTGAAAATCTTGAATGCGTCCGGAACGCTCTGGATGCTTTCGAGCCCGCGTCTGTCGGCTTCGCGCAGCCATTCGGCGCTGTATCCGTTGCCTTCGAACCGGATTTTTTTCGATTCGATGATGTATTTGCGGATGATCTGTAGGATCGCTTCGTCTTTTTCACCCCTTTGTCGATCAGCTTGTCGACTTCGGCTTTGAATAGGGTGAGCTGTTCGGCGACCGCCGTGTTGATCGGAATCAGCGGCGCGGCGCAGTTGTTCGACGAACCGGTCGCCCGGAATTCGAACCGGTTGCCGGTGAAGGCGAACGGCGAGGTGCGGTTGCGGTCGGTGTTGTCGAGCAGAATTTCCGGGATCTTTCCGATGTCGAGTTTGATCTCGGTTTTTTCGTCGGGAGTCAGTTTCTTGTCGCTCAGGCGTTCTTCGAGCGAGTCGAGGATGGCCGACAGGGTCGAGCCGGTGAATACCGACATGACGGCCGGCGGCGCTTCGTGCGAGCCGAGCCGGTGCGAATTCGACTGGGTGGCGATCGACGCCATGAACAACGGACCGTAATTGTGGGCGGCCATGATCGTATTGACGAAAAAGGTCAGGAATTGGATGTTGTTTTTCGGTGTTTTGCCCGCGCAAGCAGGTTTACGCCCGTGTCGGTCAGCAGCGACCAGTTGCAGTGCTTGCCCGATCCGTTGACGCCGGCGAACGGTTTTTCGTGGAACAGCACGCGCAGCTTGTGTTTTTGCGCCAGCCGGCGCATCAGGGTCATCAGCAATGTGTTGTGATCGACGGCGATGTTGGCTTCCTCGAATACAGGCGCGCATTCGAATTGATTCGGGGCCACCTCGTTGTGCCGGGTCTTGATCGGGATGCCGAGGCGGTAGGCTTGCAGTTCGAAGTCTTTCATGTATTCGAGCACGCGGCTCGGAATGGCTCCGAAATAGTGGTCGTCGAGTTGCTGGTCTTTGGCCGCGATGTGCCCATCAGCGTACGTCCGGTCTGCGCCAAGTCGGGACGGGCCAGAAACAGCGCTTCGTCCACCAGGAAATATTCCTGCTCCCAGCCCAGCGTGACATTGACCTTCCTTACGTCCTTGTCGAACAACTGACACACTTCGACGGCGGCTTTATCAATGGCCTGCAGCGACTTGAGCAGCGGCGTTTTGAAGTCGAGCGCTTCGCCGGTGTAGGCGATGAATATGCTGGGGATACAGAGTGTCCGGTCGAGAATGAACGCGGGCGACGAAGGGTCCCAAGCCGAATAACCGCGCGCTTCGAACGTGTTGCGGAGGCCTCCG